AGACGCTTAGTCAAGTTTCAGGCCAAAACACGCTCTGCGAGGCGCACACAAAGGCCTAATGCCACATTTGGACTCGATTTAAAGAATAATAGAGATGCACCAGCAAGATCTTCAGAATCACGTCTGGCGCTTCTCAGGGCGCACCCACCCTCTTGAGGCAGAGGGCGCGCCAGCTTGGAATTGATACCGGTGCCAAATGCTGACCGCAAACCTGATAGCAGCCACGAACCCAAATGCAGATTGGTGGCCCAGCATATATCAGCAGCAATGTCTATTTCCATTTTCACGCCTGTTGACATTGATTTGTCTATCTATCGAACTATCTGTCTATCTAGTTGTCCGTCTCTCCATCCAAGGAACTAGTGTGTTTTCTGGCCGTCCGGGGTTTGCCTTGGGCTGGTTGGTTGGTTGGTTCGGGTGTGATTCAAACGGTAGGAGCGCATATCCACGAGCAATGCCAGGATTTCGAGAGGTTTCCTGGCAGCTGCAAGGGCGTATACCGGAAGAACAAAGCATGGCTTACAGAAGAATCGCGGCGCAACTTGTTAGGAGTCAACTCTGCGGGAAAGCGCTAGGAGTTGGCGAAAAATCCTGCAACATTGCTAAGACTATGTCAGCTCAACACCAGGATAGCGCAAATTAAATTAATTTGAATTGCGAATTATTGGATTGATCGCGCGTGAGTTCGACAAGTTTAACTTGTCGCTGTCAAGTCTGGAAGGGAGCAGTGACGATCTTTCGCGAGCGAAATGGCCCAGCCCAAAAGCGAAACCACCGGGCTCGCGCATCAGAGTTGTGTTGGTCCCAGCATGTACTCTGCTTCTTGCGCTGTGTGCTGAGAAGTTTTTACTTCAGGCTGGGCTGCCAAACGCGTGCTGCGCTTGCGCTGTTGAAAAGTTGCGACACTTGAGAAGGTGCGACTTTCGGGCTAGCTGCCAAAGTAAGCTTTGCTTTTGGAGCTTGCGCTGATCTTGTGCCGGAAAGTTGCGACTTTTATGCAGAAAGTGTGGCTTCGCGTACACTGAGAAGCTGCGGTTTTCGCGCTGCTGCTGCCAAAGTGTACGTCGCGCACTACGCTTGTGCTGAACCGTCTCGACTTTTTAGCTGGAGTGTGCTTCGCTCGCCTACTGTCCTCGCGCTGAACGGTTGCGACTTCCGATCTGGAACTGCCAAAGTATTCTTGGCATGCTGCACTTGTGCTGGAGAATTGCGACTTTCGAGTTGGAGCTGGCGCGGTGTGATTCTTTGCTGCACTTGTGCTGAAAAGTTGCAACTTGCGAGCTGGAGCTGCCAAAGTGTACTTCGTGCGCTACTGGTTGTTCTGAAAAGCTGACATTCAGGGGAACTGTCGAGCAGCAGCTGGCAAAACGTACTTTGCGCACTGCACTTGTACCGAAACTTGCAAGATTGTTTCTTGAGGCTTCCGCCGGCAACCAAGAGCCTGAAGCATGTAAAGAAAAATGGTCCAGCCCGGAAGCGAGACCCGCCCATCAATGACTGTGAGCCAAACAAGTAATTTCATCCGCGGCTGACATGGGCTTCGGGACGGATATTGGTCCCTTGGCTCTTGGTGCACTTCAAACCTGGGGCACCACATTTGTGCGAAATACATGCACTCTTATCTAAGGACATTGCTTATTTGCATACTCAACTCATTTGCAGTCGTGTTTTCCTTTGTGACAGCAAGTGTTTGAGTCAGCTTGGCAGATCTCATCATGGGCCTCCAGACCAAGAACTTTAGAGAGAAACTGCTTCAGCAAGAGGTAGCCTTCACAGCTCCATCATCAGCACCACTCCCCACCCATGGCACATGGGGATTCGACGCGATTGTCAGAGCATAATTACCTCTTTCGGGAGCCAGGCTTGATGCAACAGTGACAATCCGTGTACCAGCCGACTTGCCCTCCCATGTCAGCCAAAGGTGTTTGCGCTTTGCACCGTAAAACTTCGCCAGAAGCAATCAAGCTGGTTTGCCTTTGCAACAAACAGACACAACACAGCGGTTCTGTTAGCACCACCCGCGGAAAATGTCCAACTTGTCATTCACAACTCACGAACCAACCAGAGGGATCTGATTCAAGCAGGACCGTCAGGCTCAATCAGAAGGCCCCCGTGAAGGACTGGCCTGTGAAACTTTTAGGCTTGTCGATGCACGTAGATACCATTTTCTTTGGCCAAGGACTATCGCCGGTGGCAGAAATGTCATGCACTCCGGCAAGCAGCGCCTCATGCATGCAGGACTTGTCGCACGGCATTGCTGCAGATGCCCCTGTTGCAGTGGTTGCATTTTGGTGCACGAGCAGTCAGTTTTTTGAATGCTGTTGCGTGGCAAGATTTCGCAGTACATGATTTTATGATACCTGTGAGGCTTGTCCAAGGCTCAGGGACCTTACACGAATGGCGTGATGGTGCACAGTGTTGGCACCAGGAGTTGTTGGCAAAAGCAGCTGTCCAGAACGCGTTCCAGACAACTCAAGATCTTGGCACAGGCAAGATGTTCTCTTGAATTGCTGCATTGCCCGATTCTTGAATTCACGTTTTTAGCATGGTTTCGATTGCTGCTTTGCTGGGAGGCTCGGCAGTGGACGCATTGGATGCATCAGCATCCAGTGGAAGTGGGGCTTAAAGCTGGTAGCATGCTGTCAGCGCTGCGTTGGCCTAGGCCACACAGCACAGGAACTTTGCATACACTTACGTCCACCGTGTGAGCAGAACACTGTTGTTTGTTGGTTGAGCTGACGTCTTTATGCTTCTAATTTCTACACGCTCCTCAATGACCTTTTCTTCTATTGTTTGTTTATCATTGGTTATTGTTGTTGATTTGCACAACTGCAAAAGCCGAAAGGCGCAATGGAAATCCAATGGCATGCGAAGCATGCCTGATTTGGGTGTAGGTGCGTCCTCGGCAATTTTAGCCAGCGAATGTTTCCCGCTTTATTCTTGCCATCACTGAGGGGATGCCAAACGGCTATCCTGCTCAATGTACATAGAGGAGCGGTGTAGGCTGCTGGATGCAAATGCAGGCAAAACGGTCAGATTGTTGCAGGTGCTCAAGTCCTGTTTGCTGATATGCTTTGCTCGCCTGACTAGATTTGCTTACAGTGATGGCATGCAAGCAACACTCTTTACATCGGTCAGACATTCAGAACTCAGCTTGGAATGTCGGCTAGGAGCAGCTCAGCTCACTTGACAGTCCCACAGGTTTGTCCATGAATGCAGACCCAAGGCCAAGCATCGGTCTCGGCCTGAGGAAAGAAGATTATGCAGATGTCCTGTTGCTTGGTGTGAGGACACAGCGGCACTTACAAAGTTGTGTATCGCTCTCAGTGTTAGGAAGACAGGTGTTGGAGTTCAAGCATGGCAAAGATGTGCAGTATGAATGTTGTGGGACCCGCGTTTGCACTGGTGCTTAAAAGCAGCACTCCAAAAGCCTCTTAAGTTCAATGTGCCTCGCAAGCTTGCGACACACAGTGAACATCTGTGCTAGCTTTGCATCCAAAGCCATCAGGTCGGAAACCAGTCAGGGCCTGATAGTGGTTTTGGAAGACCTGAATCAACGGTTTCTGTCTTGGCCTCGGACATGGTGGCACCATGTGCAGTGAGATTATGTGTCGAGCTTAACAATAATGGCTGATAGGTGTTGGCTAGTCATTGAATGCCAGAAGATTGCAAAACTCTGCTGGATTCAGTCACTGTACGTTGTGGTACGCTTGACATGAGCTTCGTGTCCTGAGGCTTAGTAAAGTGCCAGACGGAGCTGGTCAGGCCATCGCTTTGATGTCCCAAAGACTTAGACATTCACCAAGCAACCAGATGCGAGAGCCGCGAGAGCCGCGAGAGCCTGAAGATCCATGGCTGCGTGGAGCTGGACGAGGCTGTTGCGTTCGTTGCAAGAGGCGATCTGCGGCCCTGATCCATTTGCCATCCAGGCACGTCCAAGACCATCCCGTCCTGGGTGACCTTTGTTTATAGTCGAGAACGCAAACAGACACACAAACACACATGTTCGATGAATTGGCCACAGCAGAGCGCCAAGCAACATAGCATCATGAGTCACAGATAAACCACAGAATATCGAATGCACCTCCGGAGCTTCAATTCAGGTACGCAAATCTGGGCCAGCGGTTTGTGGGAGCTCAAACGGCAAGGACGCGCCTCCGATCAGCTTCAACACCTCATATTGTGTGAGCCTTCTGATTACGCGCAAAACCGCGCAGATAGCAAGGATTGTTTCCCCTGGTTGTGAATTGGCTTGGACAGGCGCCGCGAGCCATGACAACCAAGTTGATACTGATGGAAGCCAACCTCGGTGGCTTTTGAGCCCTGCTCATTGACAAGCGAGAAAGCATATTGCTGAATGGGCCCAACATAGGCTCGAAGATGTCCTGCCTGCTATGGAAGCAGTATTCTTAGGCAAGAAAGCACAAGCAGTCGACTTTGGTGTCATTGAGGGCGTATGAAACACAAATCGATTGCACGGGGAAGTCGTTATTATTCGAACAGTGAGGGATGGCTTGCTGCATGTCAGTACAGACACGTTGCTTGTTTGTGTCATAGCATCGAGGAGTGGGAAGAGTTTGTCGATCCGCATTCAGGACTTGAATGGCACTGTGCATGCACAAGTCAATCTCAAGCTGCGAGGAAAGACATGGTGGTGGAATGCCTCCACTGAAACAGCCAGCTGGGAGCCTCCTGCAGCATAGAAATGTGGGAATGCCAGTGCATCATTGCAGCGCCCGCCTGCCTGTCATGATGCAGTGAGAAAGCTGATTGCTCAACTTGGATGGCCCCAGCTGCAGTGGGGAAGCAACTTATTGACCAAGCACTCACCAGCGATCAATCAATCGTGCATTCTTACAATCCTGTAGCCCCAATGGTTACTTTAGCATGGAGGAGATGGCCCAAGGTTTGCAATCAACTGCAGTGGTTGTGTGAGATCGTTGACAACTCACCAAGCTGGGAAGAGAGCCATCCGAAGTACACTTCATCCGCCTTTGCGAGCATAGTCTTGCAATCAGTCAACTGTGATTGCCTGATTGACTATAGTTCCGATTTGCCGCGATTTCATCTCTACAGAAGGAATCAAGGCCAGCAACTTCGAACAGTCAGTCATGCTTGCAGTTTGTGCTTGCACTTGGCCTTTTTTTTGGTAGGACTTGGATTTGAGCTGTCAGGACTGCGTTGAGAGTTGAGAAGCAACACGCAGTGCTGTTAGATGAAATAGTTAATCTGGCGCAAGAATAGTAACTCAGCCCTCCTTGGCTGCTTTTATCTATGCAGGCCGATTATTCTTAAGCAGTCGCTTACTGCTTGCCGGGACGTGGTATGCGCAAGTACTTGTCAGCATACCCCCGGCAAGCTGTGTGCTTGTGGATATCGAGCTTGCTGCGCCATTGGCTCACGCTTGGAATAGAGAAAGCATGCCAATGCCGTGAAACGCGCACGACATGTTCAGGATTTTGGGCGAAACTGTTGAGACCTATGGAGATTACAGTAATGTATTAAAACGAGTTGAACAAGTGAAGAATGATCCAGAAGAAGAAGAAGAAGCACAACATTATCCAATTAAATAAATAAAATAAAATAAACAATGTTGATGAATTCATTGTCACCAATTATTGCTTACCACTAGGTTCCCGTGCGCAAAATGAATTGTGAATTAGATGATGTGCATGTGCAGCAATGCAATATAGCAAAATGTAACCTAATGTGTTTTAATGCAATGTAATGTGTGTACGTGATGTGTGTACAATGTGTATAATTTACAAATTTCTGGGCCTGCGGCCTCTAGCCGGCTACGCCTCTTTGAAGTTATACCATGTCATCTTATGTTTTTTGTATGAGAAACGTATCCTGTGCTATGATATGGCTGGGTAGGTTATGTATATTGCCCACCCCAACCCCAGATGATGCCGGGGATGCCAGCTTTCTGGGCCCCAGCCGGGCCCCAACCCAGAAGGCTGACATGGGGGCGCGCGCCAGAGGCCCCAGAAATAGCAGCCCAAAAAGAACAGCCCGCAAGCCAGTCCGGAAACGCAAATGCAACAAAACACTGTAAATAGCTGCGTTTTGTGGCTGGGGTCGCGCGCGCGCGCCAGAAGGCCCGAAAACCAACGCGAAAAAGCAAGGACCGCGCAGAACGCGAGCCAGCCATAGCAAAAGCAAAACGGACAGAACAACAGCCCAACGCTCAGCACAGCAGTTTTTGGCGGTATTTACAGCGTTTTGCAGAGCGAGGACCCAGCATCGCCGGCATGCCCGGCAGCGCTTGGCGCCAAAATGCGCAAAAATGAGCCTCGCGTATATCCCTCCGATACCTTCCAAAAAACAGTGCTTCATGGGTTGACAGGCTTTTTGGAAGGAAGTCTTGATGATGCAGACCAAGCCCCGCTGCAGCATCACCCAGGCCCAACCACAGAACCCTGCGTATACGCGATGTTTGCAAGGGTTACCCACAGGCAAGCAAAACCGCAAGCCCGAGCTGGTGATGCAGAGGTGCCGGATTTAGGCAGCGCAGCACGACCAAGTGGCGAGGGTCGGCGCCAGGGTGCAGCCCCTATAGCTAAAGCTAGCAGGCTAATTGCCTAGCGGCGACATGCTACCTCAGGAGGCGTAGCCGGATTTAAGGGCTGCCGTCCTGTGCCGCCGACCCCTTCGTGGCTGGCTGTCGGCGCACGAATCGGCTGGCTTGTTGGGCCTAGGAAAGGAAAGTTTGGCACGCGCGGATGAGGCACGCGCGGGCGTGATGATCGTCATCACCCGCGTCATGACAACTATCATCACAACATCCTCTGCATCTCTACTTGTTCCTTGATAACTATCATCATCGCACCCCTTGCATTGCCAAGGATGTCTAGCGTTAGACGATCAGATTATGATAAAGATGATGATAAGGAGGATAACTGTCCTCGTAGCATCCTTGGCATCACTAACGGCTGTGATGATGATAAGGATGATGATGATGGTGATGATAGCAATCATCGTAGCATCCTCTGCGTGCCTAATAAGAGATGACGACGAGCATGATGATAATGGCACGCGCGGGTGTGATGATCGTTATCATCCGCGCCATGACAACTATCATCACAACATCCTCTGCGTCTCCACTTGTTCCTTAATAACTATCATCATCGCATCCTTTGCATTGCCAAGGATGTCTAACGCCCCTCTTGATCTCTATATATATATACAAAGATATTAGATGATGTTAGATGATGATCAGATGATGATAAAGATAATAACAAGGATGACAAGTATCATCGTAGCATCCTTGGCATCACCAATCCTAATAAGAGATGACGACGACCAGGATGATAATGGCACGCGCGGGCGTGATGATCGTCATCATCCGCGTCATGACAACTATCATCACAACATCCTCTGCATCTATACTTGTTCCTTGATAACTATCATCATCGCACCCCTTGCATTGCCAAGGATGTCTAGCGTTAGACGATCAGATTATGATAAAGATGATGATAAGGAGGATAACTATCATCGTAGCATCCTTGGCATCACTAACGGCTGTGATGATGATAAGGATGATGATGATGGTGATGATAACAATCGTCGTAGCGTCCTCTGCGTGCCTAAAAAGAGATGACGACGACCATGATGATAATGGCACGCGCGGGCGTGATGATCGTTATCATCCGCGTCATGACAACTATCATCGCAACATCCTCTTTATCTCCACTTGTTCCTTAACAACTATCATCATCGCATCCGTCGCATTGCCAAGGATGTCTAACGCCCCTCTTGATTTCTATATATATAAAAAGATATTAGATCATGTTAGGTGATGATCAGATGATGATAAAGATAATAACAAGGATGACAAGTATCATCGTAGCATCCTCTGCATCACCAATCCTAATAAGAGATGACGACGACCAGGATGATGATGGCACGCGCGGGCGTGATGATCGTTATCATCCGCGCCATGACAACTATCATCACAACATCCTCTGCGTCTCCACTTGTTCCTTAATAACTATCATCATCGCATCCTTTGCATTGCCAAGGATGTCTAACGCCCCTCTTGATTTCTATATATATAAAAAGATATTAGATCATGTTAGGTGATGATCAGATGATGATAAAGATAATAACAAGGATGACAAGTATCATCGTAGCATCCTTGGCATCACCAATCCTAATAAGAGATGACGACGACCAGGATGATAATGGCACGCGCGGGCGTGATGATCGTTATCAACCGCGTCATGACAACTATCATCGCAACACCCTCTGCATCTCTACTTGTTCCTTGATAACTATCATCATCGCATCCTTTGCATGGCCAAGGATGTCTAACGTTAGACGATCAGATGATGATAAAGATGATGATCAGGAGGATAACTATCATCGTAGCATCCTTGGCATCACTAGCGGCTTTGATGAGGATAAGGATGATGATGATGGTGATGATAACAATCATCGTAGCGTCCTCTGCGTGCCAAATAGGAGATGACGACGACCATGATGATGATGGCGCGTAATGATCGTTATCATCTGCGTAATGACAACTATCCGCGTAATGACAACTATCATCGCAACATCCTCTGCATCTCCACTTGTTCCTTGATAACTATCATCATCGCTTCCTTTGCGTTGCCAAGGGTGTCTAACGTCCCTTTTGATTTCTATATATATTAGATGATGCTAGACGATGATCAGATGATGATAAAAATGATGACAAGGATGACAACTATCATCGTAGCACCCTTGGCATCACTAACGGCTGTGATGACAAGTTTCATCGTAACATCTTCTGCATCAGCAACGCTGCCGAATAAGAGATGGTGATGACCATGATGATAATGATAGTAAGGATAAGAGAATAAGAAAGAGATGATGACGACCATCATGATGATGATGATGATGAGAAGGATGATGATGGTGACCATCATCATGATGATGAGAAGGATGGTGATGCTGATGATGACTGTGATGATAAGAATCATCGTAGCATCCTCTGCATCACCAATGCTGCCTAATAAGAGATGACGACGACCAGGATGATAATGGCACGCGCGGGCGTGATGATCGACATCATCCGCGTCATGACAACTATGATCTGCATCTCTACTTGTTCCTTGATAACTATCATCATCGCATCCTTTGCGTTGCCAAGGATGTCTAACGTCCCTTTTGATTTCTATATGTAATAAGATGTATAATAAGATATCAGATGATGTTAGACGATGGTCAGATGATGATAAAGATGATGACAAGGATGATGAGTATCATCATAGCATCCTTGGCATCACTAACGGCTGTGATGATAACTATCATCGTGACATCTTCTGCATCAGCAACGCTGCCGAATCAGAGATGATGATGACTATGACGATAATGATGATAAGGATAAGAGAATCAGAAAGAGATCATGATGACCATCATGATGATGATGGTGATGAGAAGGATGATGATGATGATGAGAAGGATGATGATGATGACGATGATGCAGCCCAAAACAGAGTCTCCCACACCTCAAACTAAAAGATATTAATTTGAGGTGCTCTCCCTGACGAAAAGCCCGCCAGAAAATAGACACAAGGATGCCACTGAACAATTGGGCAATGGATGACTGTCATGACAACTATCGTCGTAGCATCCTTTGCATCACCAATGCTGCCTAATACAAGATGACGACGACCATGATGATAATGGCACGCGCGGGCGTGATGATCGTTATCATCCGCGTCATGACAACTATCATCGCAACATCCTTTGCATCTCTACTTGTTCCTTGATAACTATCATCATCGCATCCTTTGCATTGCCCAAGGATGCATAACGTCCCTTTTGATTTCTATATATGATAATATGAAAACAAGAAATAAGATGATGCTAGATGTTGATCAGATGATGCTAAAGATGATGACAAGGATGATGAGTATCATCATAGCATCCTTGGCATCACTAATGGCTGTGATGATAACTATCATCGTGACATCTTCTGCATCAGCAACGCTGCCGAATCAGAGATGATGATGACCATCGTGATGATGATGATGAGAAGGATGATGAGGATGATGACCATCATCATGATGATGATAAGGATGATGCTGGCGATGATGAC